TAATTGAAAAAGGGATTCTGTAAGGTACATAAGATTGTGTTTTTATATGTGTATTTAGAATAAAATGCTTAAGATATAAATGAGTATTAATATCTATGATTAGTTTTTTAATGGCATTGATAGTGGTCTTATATACCCATAAATGTTTTTTTTCTTTTGTTGTTGTTTTTTTCTTATAAAATACATTGTGTAATTTTAGAATGTACTAAACAGAATCCCAATATAAGTTAAGTGTTATATTAAGTATTACTAAGTTAGGGGAAAGAGTTAAAGGCGTCATACTCCAATCAGTGTACAGGAGAAGTTTGTTTAAAGAGAAAAGACGAATGGATAGCTGGAAATAGAACAGACAAAGAATGATAAGTATTATGATTTGAACTGAGATGAGATAAATAAAATAAAATTAAGAAAGATAAAAGAGGGAAGAAGCTATATAGAAAATTGAAAATGGTAATAAGATATGGAATGGTATATAAAATGAATATGATTTTTGAATTTGTGTCTGTACGAAGAGTTTTAACCCGGGACCAAGCAACTTTCAGAAAAGATGTTTTATGTTTTTATGTTCTACGTTTTGTTTGTTTGTGTATTGTTCTTGAAAAGCAATAAAATTTTAATTAGCAAGAAATATAATTTGAATAATAGAATGAAAGGGAGAAATAAAGAGAAGTTGGGCTAAGACACGAAGTTGAACAGATAACGTAAATATATATATTATAATTTGGAATTATTCTGTATGTTCTATTGGTTATTTCAGAAAAGATTTTTTATGTTATCATGCCTTGTTTGTTTGTGTATTGTTTTGTAAAAACTAATAAAATTTGTTTAAAAAAAAAAAAAGGAATGAAGCTCAGACAGGTCCACTGAGCATATCCATGCTGCCTCCCGAATACATTTTCAACTATGGAGCTGAATGCCTGCACATCCCTAAAGTGGATTTTGCACTACAAAAAGAAAGCAACATCCTATGTCTGGGAACAAGACCAAGCTCATTTACATCAGGAAAAGATCAGCTATAATTTATTACAACTGTCCCCGAGCAACCAAGATTATGTATCAATTTCATTGTGGCACTAAAAATAGTTCTCTTCTATAGTAAGTCCTCAGCAATATGATGTCATGCCATCATATTGCTGAGGACTTAAAAGCTTATTGTTTTAATCTTTGCTTTTTGTCTACTACACAATAGGTCAGCGCTGTCAAACTGGCAGCCCGCGGGTCAGATGTGTCACATAGTGGTCACACCCAAGCCTGGTTTACCAAAGGGGGAAACTGTCACAATATATGATGTGATCTCGCCATGATGCCGCAAGTTTGACACCCCTGCAATAGGTGGATTTACCCACAACATTAAGTTACATAGGTTGGATCCACATAGTATTAAGACACATTGTTTCTGTTAGTTTGTCATGATGGTTGTTGTTTGTTTCACCACCTTGGCTTACATTTTTAAAAGGTAAGATAAAAATAGAATGATATCTTTAACACCATCAAACAACATCTGTATCCCCAAGGTCCTTGGGAAGTACTCACTAGATGCATAAAAAAGCCAAATCCATCTAAACATCTGCTGACTGTGTGACCAATCAAAATGAATTTATGAGCTTATAGACTTATTCTTATGGCCAATGTCACAAAGACTTGATCAACAAAACATGATATTCTAACTTCAGAAGGGTAATTAAAAAGAAATAGTAGACTCTTCCAAGGGTTTTCTAGTAAAAGGTAATATCATGGTTGTCATCAGATTGATTGAATTTTTTTATACTTCCTAGTTCATCCAACCATATAATATTTAGCTCTTCTGACAAAGGTGCTTTATATATCCTACCTTTAGAAATGTATAAAGGCAGATGCCTTGAATCTTACTACCCAAAGTACAAAATTATTGAACTTAATAAACCTTGTACAGTACTAATTCCTGAGGGGTTCTTGGTGCTCTTTGAGTTTGTTTTCTTGCAGACATTTCATTACTCAAACTAGATAATATTATCAGTGCTAGTAAGAAGTGGGGTTTGCTCTCAGTTTATATGCTAGTGCAGGGGTGTCAAAACTTGTCATAGCGGCATCACATGATGTATCGGGACTTTTTCGCTAAACCAGGCATGGGCATGGCCAGCACGTGACAGATCTGGGCCAAGGGCCGCGAGTTTGACAGCCCTGTGCTAGTGGCTTGCCCTGTCAGTGTTGGTAGGAGTGATTTTGGAGGTTCTTTGGTTGGCTGTTTACTGTTAGCTTGTTTGGCAATTTCTTGACTGAGGTATTGTTTATTTGATTGTTGGTCTGATGTTAATTCTGGAGTTAATCTAATTTTTAAATGATAAGGATAGCTGCACAGCTATGGTGTCTTTGAAATCCAGGGAAGGTTTAAATGCGAAAATCCTTATTAAACCAATGAAGCCAAAGAACTCTCTATAAAAGGGGGGAAAGGAATGGATAGAGAAGAAAGCTATAATGGGAAACTTACAATTCCCCTCCTCCTAAAAAACATGTCAGCTATTACTATATCTCCTTAAATAAGTCTAGCATGTGTTCCAAATTAATTACATCAGGGGGAATAATTGGAAGGGAAATCATCCACCCTTTTGCTTGAATATTGACTATTGAATATGCCTTCTCTTCCTTTAGTGCTTAGTTTGATAGAATATGGAGAATAATTAACAGTTTATTTGAGGAAAATGACTACTGCTTTATTCAATCCTTGAATAACATGTTTCTGAGATCTTGGATTTTATCAGCAAATCAGAAGTGCTGCCCTCACCTTCTGAATGACCTTTGTGGAATGATAAAAGTGCAATTTGGTTTCTGCGGTTATGTCATTGTTTAAGTGCAAAAGGCTTTTTGGAAAATTGAACGCTGCATTCCATTTATGCAGACCTTTCAGCATGGAATCAACTTACCAGATGTTCTGCATTCCAAAGGCTATGATTTATCTCAGCCCAGTGCAAAAGCAGCAAGTAAAGCAATGAATGTGAGAGTAAATGGATCACCAGATGGCACCTGTTTTGACTCTGCAGCAACCTCTCATTTTTATTAGAGAGGAAGAACAATTTATATAATGTGTGTACAGTAAACCTGCCATTTATTTGGCAGTGGGACAAGAGATCTCATCTAAGATTCCGTTGTGTATTCAGCGAAGAAAAGGTACTCAGTTTAATAATTAAAGGCACCTTAAATATAAGGAGTTAGCTCTATACCAGGGGTGTCAAACACACATCGTCATGGTGGTATCATGTGAAGTATTGTGACTTTTTCCCCCTTCGCTAAACCGGACGCGGGCATGGCCAGCGTGCGATGCATCCGGCCCACGGGCCATGAGTTTGACACCTCTGAACTAGATAAATTAGACCTGCAGGGGGTTGTATGGGGAGGAGACATGGAGTTCCTAAGGGTATTAACAAGACCTCAACAACACTTGATGAAGCAGGCTTTATAATAGAAAGATATATTTACTAAGGGAGCATCAATAAATCTATACTAGATGTAGCTGTCCTGTGCAGTTATGAGCTTGTAAAGACCCAACAACACCGAATGTACACTTGCAACACTACAGAAATAAAGGTTTGGTTTTTTTGACATAGTTCAAATTGAACTGTCTTGACACAATGTCTGAACATAGTGTAGTGCCTCATTTTACTTAGCAGTTGTTGTCAGGTATTTTTTGCAGCAACCAAAAAATGCTGCTGCTCCTTTTTTATAAGAACACTTCAAAATTGCAGCTCAGCTGCAAGATAATAACATTCCTGAAGGGGCAAATCTCATTTATTTACCAAGTGGTGTCAAATCTTATAAAAGCTTTTTATCAAGGATCATGATAAAGCTTTTACCAGAGCAGATAAAAGAGAAGTGCTCCTTCAAACAAGCCATATTTAACAGCCAGAATTTGTTGCAATAAAATGCAGCAATCACTGCTGTTTAAGGTAGTTTATGCAACTTTCTCGTAATATGGACAGTGGGAGCATTGAATGGGCCTTCTCTCTGTAATAATGCTCAGCCAATAATGAGCTGGAAAAAAAATATGAGGAAAGAAGAGTAAATGTCAGTCCCCCCCTTTCCTCATTTTAGGAAGAAGGCAAGGAAATTTTTGAATATATTTATGCATTAGTCTGTTTCCTTCAGCAAACATTAGGACAAGACCCATTGTCTAGGTGCGGTGGCCCAGAGGTGGAGCTCTCTCCTCACAATCAGGAGGCTGTGAGTTCAATCCCAGGTAGAGGCTAATATTTGCTCCTGCTTGAGCAAGGGGGTTGGACTAGATGACCTCCAGGGTCCCTTTCAACTTTGTTATTCTATGATTAAATATCCCTATGGGACATTTTTAAATACCAGAATTCAAGTTCTGCTGTAAACCTGCACATAAAATGTTAGATTGTGAATCCAAAGGATTTATGAAATGTCCACCTGAAATCACTGTGGTCTGAAATATTCTTTACAAGAACATGGAAATATTTTATTTCTGACTTTCCTGACTACATGCTGTTAAAATTAAATCTTACTAAAATATATATCATTGTTTCTAGCCATCCCTTCTTTACTGCAAAAATAACAGTAATTATGTATTTTTATTCAATGAGTGTAAATGCTAGCTTTTTATAGGAAGCAATTGAAGAATCCCAATTTTTCATTCCTCAGCACATCCCCTTTCCAACCCCATTTTTCAATATGGAACAAAGGATATGATGGGCTTTTTTCCCACAGCTATATATTTTATTTGTTTTAGTCTGCGTTTTAAAATACAAACGAGTAGACACACAATGTGTGATTAGAGAAAGTAGGATCTGGTACGCCAGTCAACAATTATGCCCCATATTCTTGGGGAAAATATGAATATAATATAAATTCTCTTGAGTCAAACCCAGGCTTTCCTTCCCATCGTCTGCTTTTGGGATGCTTTGGAAAGTCAGCTTGAAAGAAGGTTTTTTTTAAAGGGCGTCATTAAAATGCGTCTTAACAACACAGCGTCATAACAATACAGCAGCCTCAATTGCAAACACAATCAGACCAGCGTCTTCGCGGGGCAAATTTGCAATTCGAATCAAAGTTGTATAGCAACCTTCAAACAGCTGCTTTAAATCACAGCCGAACAGAAATAAGTCCATAGAAGTAGGAAAAGGGAAGAGAGTGGCTCTACACTAATAGTATCTCTATGTACTTTTCAGGAAGTTGGACAAAGAGCGGTCGCTGCTTGTGTCTGGAACGGGCTCAGCTCGTCAAAGGTTGGTCTTTTGAAAGGAAGGACTCGTTCTTCTCTAATAATGTAACTAAAACTGGTCGGAGTCTCATTGCTGGTTTCTAGACGATATGTGAATTTGCAGGTTTCTCTTGTTTTAATCCAGTGTTTTTCAATCCAATCGACATTTAGATGGGTGATTTCAACACCCAGAATTCCCTAGCCAGCAGCATAATATGGCTTACTGTATTGCATGCTTGGGCATAACATGTTCATTTATTTATACCCCACGCTTATTTTTACAAATTAATAAAAACAGTTGGATCTCAGCACAGAACGTGGATAGGCCACGGTTCATATTTGGATAACTGCTTTGGAAAAGCAATGATGCATATAAAAATACGTGGTCTGCCAACTTTTCCAGTTCTATTCCTGTACTCTGCATTTTCCATAGATTCCAGTCTGATCAAGAAAATATACTTAGGGATTAATTTAATATCAAGATGTGTAACTATCAAGGAAGATAATTATTATAAATTGATTCAACAAATTAAAATATCTGGAGAAATGGAAAAATTGCGACTAGTTTAGTTTACTTTATTGTCATTGCACCTCGTACAACGAAATCAAACATCATCTTTAGTGCACATCATTACCATGAAAATAAACACAAACACACATCCTTCACACTTCACACATTGAACCGAAAACCCACAACACCGCACCAACACTGCACTATACAGTAGAATTAAACAGAGCTACTGCCCTGGGATAGAAGCTGCTTTTCAGCCAATTTGTGCTTGTTTTTAATATTCTGTACCGTCTGCCAGATGGTAATAGTTCAAAAAAAGGGTGCCCAGGATGAGAGGGATCTTTGAGAATATTTTGAACTTAAGGCAGTGGGAGCTATCAAGCTCTTACAAAGAGGGGAGAGGGCAACCAATGATCTTCTGGGCAATGAGATTAACCCTCTGGAGTGCTTTCCTATCTGCCACTGTGCAATTGGCAAACCATACAGAGGTGCAGTAAGTTAAGATACTCTATGGTACAGTGGTAGGTCACCAGCAGTTTTTCATTCAGTTGTTGTTTTCTGAGAAGTCTCAGGTAGTATAATCTCTGCTGGGCCGTTTTGACTAGTGTTGCAATGTGAGGACCCCAGGTCAGGTCCTCTTTTATGGTAATATCCAGAAACTTAAAACTGGCCACTTGCTCCACTCGGTCTCCATTGATAAGCAACTATCACTGATAGATAGGATAGCTACAATAAAAATGAATATATTGCCAAGATTATTATATTTATTTCAAACAATTCTGATAAAACTGGAAAAAATACTTTGAAAAACTCAGTAAAGTAATATTAAGATATATCTGGCAAGGGAAAAAAGCAAGAATAACTCTAAAATGTTGCAAGATTCGAGAAATAGAGGAGGCTTCAGGTTACCAAATTGGGAATTATATTATCAGATTGTGGAACTTGGGTGAAAGAATGGATTGTATTGAGGAACAAAAGGCTATTGACTTTGGAGGGACATGATTTGCAATTGGGCCTGCCTATTTGTAGTATGGGGAAATTAAATACATGGTTACTTTCAAAGGCATTATATTAGGAATGCATTATTGCTAATAGGGGAGAAAGTCAGAGAACAACACTATTTGAGGATACCAGTTTGGTTTTCAATGGAAGTACTGGTTCATCCAAATGTCATTAACATAGAAAATATTGTTAGATATAAGGATATTTTGAATGAGAAGGGGGAACTCAAAAATAAATTAGAATTGAGCAATCAAGGGATTGATATGGCACATTATTTCTCCTCCTGACCTGTGCATTTTCTTTGATTAGACTACTATTAGAAAGCAATGCTCAATTCTTGTTGGATTAGAGTTCAAGAATGAAACGGAAAAGTTGGTAACCCAGATATCTTTATGTATGCCAATGTTTTTCTTAAGCAGTTTGAATATCCACAATCTATTCAATCCAATAGTTTGGATATATAATAAATTGTATTATGGCTTAAGTTTGATGGCTTTCTGATCAATGGAATAAAATAAAAGGGTGGCTGGTTCTTATAGGATGTGGAACCACAAACTACTCAATTCTAAAAAAAGTTAACCTCTTTAAGTTAGAATAGTTCTTGCCAGTGACCATGATGACAGTGAGTCACCAGCACATAGTTACATGGTAGTTACCAGAAATCTTGAATTCAGAAATAATCAGCAGCGGATTTGTCTCAATTTTCTAAAGAGTAGAGGAAGCTGTGGTTCACTCGTTCATCATATACTAATGTATGAAATGTCCCCTTTCAGCTCTGGCAGTGTAAATTTTTCATAACAACAACAAAAAGCAGTTCCTTTTTCTTAGGGACGAATAACAAAGACCTTTTGCCATCTGAAGCCAATCATGCTTTACTCCCAAATCCGTCTGACCAATATTTTTTTTTAGCATAGGGGTATGGAAACCCCTGAATCACATATCCTAACTACTGATAGTAACATTACAATGATACCAAATAACAATTCACCGTTCTTTGAAAATCTGCTAACTGTGGCAGTCATCATACTCTATTTCATTTATAAAGTTTTATTAAGTTTTATTATAAGATAAAAATATAGAAAAACAAAAGAAAGATAAAAGTGCAAAGAGAAAAGCAGCTATTTACTGCATGTAGGACCAGCCCTTGAGCAGAAAAAATAAGTTCTCAGTTCAGAGGTATGGGGAATAAATTAAGAATTATGGATTGGCCTGGCTAAAGAACATGCTGCCTTACTTCCAAAGCAGATTTGGGAGTCACAATAAAATGGGTTGATGATGAAATAAGAAAAATTGTAGCCAAGTGTAGGTGTGATATTCATCATTTATTAGACTTGCATGACCCTTCTTTTTATCCCTCATTAGCCCAACAGATAGCTTCCTGAGATATCTGAAATGGAAAATCATGGTTTAAGTGCTGGTAACAGATTAAAATATCGTTTAGATTAACAAATATAGACCAGCTACTACCAATAACAATTTTTTTTTTTTTTTGCATGGTAGAAGTTACGGTGCCTATACATTCTCTTCCTGAAAAGATAAAATTGATTTTTAAATTTTTTAAGAATACGAAATACCAACCATATTTTAAATCCCAAGGAGTGAGTATGGGAGAATGTGTGTGTGTCTATGTGTAGGGCAATTGACCAAGAAAGTCACATATCACAGCAAAATTATAATCTGTTCAGATCTGCTAAAGGAAAGTAGAAGTAAATCTTTCCAAGTAGAGGAAGTTCTGAGCTGTAGTAGGACTGAACGGAATGATTAAAATAATTGTAGAGAAGCTTAGAACAACGTGCTTCTGATTTATTCAGGAAAAGAGCAGCTAACATGTAAAATAGAGGATCTGTTTAATAAATTAATAATTTTATGGTTAAATTCATGGAACATTTTAATTTTTATTCTTTCAATTATAATAAAATATTGTATATTATATCACTATTTTCTTGCTATGAAATATGAATGGAGCAACTTATCATTGTACAATAAATGATTCTTTTAACATTTTATATTTGATTGTATTATATCTAACTATCATGACCTTGAAGTACCGCATAGTAGAAATATATAGTATGGTGTCTTTCATTAATGCTCCAAATTTTGATGAGCCACAAATTAATTCAGCTCCAATACTCTTCTCTATTTCAGTCTTAGCAATTTAGTATAAACTTTTGTCTTTTACTTAGTCATTAAGAGGCTTGTCCTGAAAAGGAGAGTTTGTATTTCTGTAATTCATTTATCAATGTTATGACATCTATAAGGTTAGAAAATAAAAAAACTTGTTTCCATCTAATGATCATCCATATTTTTACAGGCCAAATACACCAATAATCAGTGTAGTAGGGTAATCTCCATTTCCCAATAGTATTTTGTACAATGTTCACATAACCAAGGATGATTGTTCCTGATCAAATGATTAGGTATATAGGGAATGTCATTTCTGCTATGTAATATTTGACTGAGATTTCTTATATCATTTTCTGAAGAGGAAAGAGCTATAGTAGGTGGAAAAGAAAACAGGGTGCTACTTCACGATCAGAAGTGGCAATAAATAGGATTTTAATTCTCATGTTTTAGATTACAGTTCTTCAGGGTATCAAAAAAGCATTAGTTCAGTTATACTGTTTATGAACTTAATTCAAAGATAACACTAGACCAGGAATGAACAACTTATACAGGTATTTCTGAACTTACAACTACTTGTTTAGTGACTTTTTAAAGTTATGATGGATTCCCCAGCAGCTACTTATGACTTGGTTCCGAAATTACAATGTCCTTCCCCCAATCATGACATGTCCGTCCCCCAATCATGACATCATGACATATGTGACCTGCATTTATGGCTTTTTGCAATGGCCCATAGTCACATGGATGCAATTTACAATGATTTTTTTTTCCGGGAACCAGCATTTACTTTGATTTTCAGGGGAAGAAAAAACTCCCATTGCAAACAATGGGTTCCCTTAATGACTGCAGTGTTCATTTAATGACCACTGTAATAAAGGTCATAAAATTGGGTCCAGTCATGTGATGACTCACTTTATGTCCATCATAACTTATAACCATAATAGCCAGGCTCAGTTATGATTATAAGTCAAGGATTGCCTGTATCTAAGTGTTGTGGTTTCAGTTGTCTTTTTCTGGTTTTAAACTATGTTTTACCATTAATTGCACAAGTCTGCACTCTACTCCTCCCATCTTAACAGATTTAACAGATAACAGATAATCAGAGTTGGAAGGGACTTTATAGGTCATCTAGTCCAAACCCCCACCCAAGCGGGAGACCCTACACCATTTTTGACAAATGGCAGTCCAATCTCTTCTTGAAAGTTTCAAGTGATGGCGCTCCCACAACTTCCGAGGACAAGCTGTTCCATTGGTTGATTGTTCTCACTGTCAGAAAGTTTCTCCTTATTTCCAGGTTAAATCTCTCCTTGTTCAGTTTCCATCCATTATTCCTTGTCTGACCTACAGGTGCTTTAGAAAATAGCTTGACCGGAATATTGGAAGACTGC